CTAGTGAAGGGTTTCGTCAGGATGTCGGCGACTTGAAAGTCAGTCTTTACATTCACTAATTCGAACTGACCACACTCAAACTGTTGCTTTAACCATCTAAACGAAACGCATTGGGTTCGATTAGCGTGGCGCATAGACTGTGAGTGGCCAGTGGACAAAATCGTATACTGGTAGCTTGGTTGTCTTCCATGAACTTGACTCTGCAAAATTCGGGAAAGTATGCAACCATACCATTGATATGACTTGCCTTAAGCCCTGTGAGTCCACGTTTCCGTTTCGCATCGCGTCGATCTCTGGATCAATGATGGTGAAGATGCCTTCTTGCTTGGGCATCGCTGCAAGGCGAGCCGCTGCATCTGGTGCCTGCTTGAAGAGCTGTTCGAACAATGCTAGGGTTGGAATTCCCTCAGCACGGACACCAAAACAACACTTTGGCTCCGAAGGGTATGCGCATCCCGTCGAACTCCGCCCCAAACCTCAAGTGACCGCGGGCTATATATCCCCCCCTGACAACTGCGGGTTGGCATTGACAGCAATGGCAAAGTGCTGCATCGCCATCGGCCACGTGCGCAAAGGCATTCCTGCTTGAACAAGGTTGGATCGAGCCCCTTCCAGCATTTGACGTATCTCACGCTCCACGAACGATTTGCTGGAGTCCACACACTCTATTGATGTCTGATGCCTATAGCCAAGTTCCTTGATAGCGGCTTTCAATTCCCGACTACTATCCGTGTAAATCACCTCAACATCATCCTTTCCATTGACGAAATGGTTGATGGCGAAAGTACAATCTTCGGCAAATCGAGATTGGCTCGGGTACACGTATCGGAACTGCGTATGGATATCTTTGATAACCAACGCGACCTTCTCACCTTTCATGCCTTCTTCCACGTTTGCTTTAATGAGCACGTGATCGGCAATGACATGGTCTCCGAACCGAGTTGTATCAACCCTTGCTTGCCCGCCTTTGGACCTGGCATAAGGTGCTAGCACGCGTGCCCTTTGACACGTTCGACAGAATGGGTTCTTGGGGAAGTGAAGAAAATGGTGCTTGGACGACTGGGCTTCGACGATGAGGTCAGCTGACTTTCTGCTCCTCACCGCTACCACTTCTTCATCCCTAATGGGCTTGGAAACACCGGGCAGAGCTAAAAGCTTGCGAACCTTGGCTGGCTTGAAGGACCTTGTGCTGACAACTGGACATGAATCATCCAAAATGGGAACATGACCGTCAACTTTCAGGACGACTGCTTTTCCATCAGGACGGACAAGGAATGGTGCAGACCCTGCCGGCCAGACAAAGCTGTATCCCTGGTCCATACATCTTGTACCAACCGAAAGGACCGACGGTGTTTGCTCTAGTATATATGGAGTGATGGACCCTGGCAACGTGTTGAGGTCAATCTCGGCCACTGCATTGGACTCTGTTGAACCATTTGCCGTGATGAAGCTGATCGGATGATCCGCGCTGCGTCTATTGTAGGCTCCGACTTGGGACAGCATGGAATCACTGATCAGGTCCTGCTCACTTCCAGAGTCAATAAGCCATATTGATGGCGACCTTTTGGCGCGGGCGCGGCGACGGTTGGTGGCATCAACACAATGTGGGTCTTGCATGGTGTTAGCAGGTTCCTACAACACTTGCAAGTCAGACTCTCTAGGTCATCTACACACTTGAAACCACATGATGGTTGAACCGAATTTTCGAACTGCTTCACAGTCTCTTGCAGCTTTCTTGCTGCCGTTTTGGCATTCAACACATGAATTGGATCCGCTTTCTTTGCTGCTTTGGCAGTTGTGAGGGCTTCATCGTATCTCCTATAGGACCATGGACGACTGGGTTGCATCGGCCGCGAGCATTGATTCTCTTCGCCCCTACTCTTTTATCGAAGGTGACTCGTTTCTCTGCGCTGCCCGTTCTTTTCTTGGGCTACGATCCGAACCGAGCTTGCGGCAGCGGCGCTGCATGCATAGCTTGATCGAACACAGGGAGCAGCCGACTTTTTCGGCTTCGGTTCCTTCTTGGGCTTCGGAGAGTTTGGCCGAGCTGGATCCTTGGGAGCGGCTGCACCTTTCTTTTCATGCAGGTACAGGCACTTATCCCCACGGCGGCAGTCTCCTCGTGCAAAATAGATGCATGGAGTCTTAGCCATCTCCTCTTTGTTGAGCTTCTTCTTTGGATCACGACTGGACGTGCGGGGTGTCCTCTGCCTAGAGGGCGACCTGTCCTTCTTGTCATGACGATACGGGCACTCTTTTCCCTTGGCACACTTCCCTTTCATGAAGTCTCTACATGGGATCTTCTTTTTGTCGGGAGTTCTTCCCCTTGGGGGTGTTTTCTCCCTCTTTGCAGGGGGCACCACGGGTAGTCCGGCCCGATCTTTGGGGTTGTTCGGCTTTGGTTGATTCTTACCGACGATACGATCTCGATTCTCCCTAAGCCTTTCACGATCGATCAGGTCTCGGATGGCCTTCACGAGAAACGAATACGTCTTGCTAGGGTCACCCTCCTTTGCCCGATCATAGGTGTCAATGTCATACTTGAGTAGCGTGCTAGGACGGATTTGACGGAGCAAAACATCGCGAAGGATTGTTTCCTCAGGCTCCTTCTTCATACCGGCTAACACAGCATCCCAACGATTGATAAATTTCTTGAGGTCAGCAATGGTATCCCCGAACTTCGCTACCTTCAAGAGGTCTTCTAGTGAGTAGAGAGTACCAGCTTCCTCAGATGTTTTGAAGTAGTCATCAAACATAAGAAGTGCTGTGCGACCCCTGGTCTGATGTCCCTTCTTTGCTTGCTCCTCCTTGTGGTTAAGGATTCTATTTCCCAGATCACCACGGGCTGACTTTGTGAGAGCAGCGGTGAGCTTCGTGTCTAAGGTCACGAACTTGCCTGGATTCTGGAGCTTTGCCTCGAGTTCAGCACGGGAGAGTTTTGGATCCCAAACTTCCATAATCCACTCCCATGCTTCGTCGGGTTTGTCGGACGATGATCGAACAAGCTCACGAACGAGGTTCTTCCATTGTCGATACGTCTCGGGCGTTGGCATGTCCGGTATGGCAATTGCATCGGCTTCTTTAACCCTTGGTTTGCCTTCATCATCTTTCTTGGACTTCATTTCCTTAAGTAGTTCTGCAAGACCACTCCTCAGCGCATTAGTTTCACCCGAAGAGGCCGGGACTTTGCCATCGACTCGTCCGTCGCCCACGTTGGACGTTCGCTCATCGGCAGTTTCGCGTGCATCGACGAAATGCTCATCCTTTCCATGGGCAGGCTCTAACGCTGTGGGATGTGGCAATGCTGCAGGTGCTCGCGATGGGTAGAAGTCACTGAGTTTCTGAGCGAACCTTGCATCCAGCCTCGCCTTCCAATCAATCTCCGTTGCTTGGGGCAAGGTCTCACGGCCTGCTGGCTCGGATATCACAGGGGTAGCCGAACCTGGCAGGTGCTGCGGTGCTTCAGCCTCATGTGCTGGAATCATCCCATCGAGCTGATCTTGGAGGAGTGGGTTAGTCTCTGATGCCTTTCGCAGTTCCTCTTCAAGATGTTCCTTTCTTTCAGTCCACTCGGTCTCCATGATTTGGTGCTGCCTGCGTTCTTCTTCAAGGTGTTAGAGGCGTCCTCCACCATCTTGTCAAACATCTTTTCCAGCTCACTCATCTTTTCGTTCATCTTCTGCAAAGGAAGCTTCTCTGCTTCTGCCTTCTGTTCCGACATCCTCTTTTGATGTACAGTAGGCTGTCTGCGCTGGCAACTTTGGCCTGACTCTCAGCCAGCTGCCTTTCCAACAAGTTGATCCGACCCTGCATAGCCAGGACTTGCTTGTCGCACACTTCCCTCATCTGATCGATGGCAACTCTACATTGCGAACCTAAGGCTTGAATAGTAGAGTGCATGATCTCTCGATGCCTTTGTTCCGCCTCATAGCGGACAGCTTCTTCGTTTCCCGAAGCGATCTGATGAACATTGTTCTGAATAAACTGAAAGTATGCTGTGACGCCTTCAGGTCCCATGACGACATCCTCGGGCACGAGGTTGCCCCCGGCGGCCGGTACGGTATCGCCAGAGTATGGGATGAGGGCGAGCGCGGCATTCACACCATCATCTGTAGCCATGGCAGAGGCTACGGCTGATAACCTGTATTTTCAGGCTCAACCACTAAAATACAATCAAATTCCGCTAAGCTGCAACTGCTAGCGCTCCTTTTTGTCGCGATGAGCTGCGTGCTTGAGCCAAGAATTGGCACAGTGCGTAAAAGCATTGCATTAGGTGATGTATTTCAACATGTATTAAATATTGTTTTTGTATGACTATGATTATGTGACTATGTGATAAATATATATATATATTTATTTATATATTAATATATACCGTATATATGGTTTATATATAATATGTGGATGGATGATTCGATGTTTTGATGTCAGGATTTGATGTCTTAACAAGTTCCTCACGTGCTTTGATGTCATCCCATGTTGGGATGATACCCAATCCAATTTCCAAGTTCAAACAACATGTGCCATTGGTGAAGACGTGTCATGAACTGCCTTCTCAAGAGGCGAGAGGGTTGCTTCTTCAGTCATCATCTAGTGCTGCTAATCCAAGGAACCATACGTTTCATTATTATCTTACGGCTTGCCAATCAATAGAGTGCGCTTGGACACATCAACTACTGCAAAATCATGCAGCTCACCTGTCCCTTGTGTCTGAGTGTTTGAGCCACATCATTCATCCCTAAGTCCAAGTATCATTGAGAGGTCCTGTGTCGACTCATTGAGAGGTCCTTCCCAACTCACCTTGTCAAGTACAGCAAAAGGAAGCAACAATTCCATCCAATTCCGCTGTCCAACCAAACATCCACATCAACATCAGTCGGGAAGCATCTTGACATGCATGATCTCCGCAAGATCACCACCACCACACGTTCGCCCATACACATCATACACAAACCCTTCCGGCTTTCCAACCCTCGGCTGAAGCAATTCTGCCAAGCCACAATCCCACAAGACAAGACCTGACGACCGGGTCACGCTCGGACGACCCCGACACTCGGACCGGGTCCGTTCGGCGACACTCGGCACGAGCAGGTCGCGAAGAACACACGACTGGCACCTGCCAGTGTGAAGAAAGAGGAGCCACAAGTGGGTGGCAAGCCACCAGCCTGTCAATGTGGTTCTGAATCCGGCAAGCTTGCACCAATCCGTAATGATCCGATGTCTTATGCACACCAATATATCCTTGAGTCACTTCCAACAAATCGACCTCATGGATTCTACAAGTCCAACGACTGCTGCGGACGTCACACATTTCACCGGTCCAACGACTCTAGACCGGTCTAGGCACCGCGTGCCTCTGAAGTCCAAATTGAACCTGGAAGTGCCAAACGTGACCAGTTCTGAGTCGAAGCATTGCATGGCTTGTTTGGTGGAAGAACATGCTCAGATTGGGCGGTGCGAGATGCAGGTGCAGGCTTCGTGTGGGGTAACCACTTATATATCTGACCCTACAAGTACGTGCATGAGGAAATACCAGGATCTTCCAACTATATGCAGAATTTTCGCCCAAAAGGCTGTAATTTTGCCTTCTTGGAAGATCCAGGTATGGGGAAACACTGCAGTGTTTGGAAAGTAAAGACCGAAACCAAAGAGGTCTGTTTCTCCCACGTCGCTGGCTCAGCAAGTATTGACCGCATGCTTCGGAGAGATTTGGCACAATTGCCGCCAGATTGGATGCTGTTGGATCAGCCTTCTCACAAGCACCGACTGCAGCGCAATATGACAAGAGGCTCATCCGACTTGCCTTAGATTCAAGCTCTCCAAAGAGCTCCAAGGCCTCTTTCCACTGGGTGCTGCCCGAGCATGCATCTATGGCAACATCACACAGTGTCAGACCCACACGCATATGGTGAAACGATCTCCAGAGTGCCAGGACCTGTGACCATCGCTGGGTCTTGGCCGCCACATCCATGGCGGCCGAGAGAGCCACCCAGTCGGAGTTCGACTTGAAACACTGCATCGCTTCGATCCAACGACGCCCTCGAACATAGGCTTGCATGAGCGATGTGAGGCTCACTTGGTTGGGCTGGAGGTCTCGCCGTTGAAGCTCGGAATGGAGAAGCACAGCTCGTTCCCATTGCGTGCCACTCACACAAGCACTGATGGCAGAACTGTAGGTGATCAAATTCGCGGAGTGCTGGGTCCTTAAGTCTGCTGTGTATGCAACGGAGTCACAAAACAAAGGGCATCGCTACTAGGAGCAAGGATGCTACTAGGGGCTGAGGCGACCTGCTTCTTTTCTCCCCTGCTGGGCACCACAGGAAACGGCACCATACAAATCAAACACATATTGTAAGTAATTATAGGATTATGTAATTACATTATAATATATATATATATTATATATATATATCAGATATCATATGCATACTTTGTGTGACATTCAAAATGATAAATTGAGATAATTGAGTTGACATCACCTGCTCAGCCAAGCACAGGGTCGACTCCAAAAGCACCAAGGCAACCTGCCACTGCTCGGCCTTCTCACAAACGCTGATGGCCGCTGTGTGAACCACCACATTGCTCTGCATCGACCGCTTCTCCATGTCACGCAACAAGCCAATGGCCGTCCTGCAGGCCAACCCCGTGCGTCGGAATCACACCGCTGGTACTTTGCAGATTACGAATCGTCCTTTCTATCATATTCTGACATTCCCGACTAGCAATCTCCACACGTATCGACATGGTTCACATTCGATGAAAATCACTCTCAATGATCCACACTCCAAACCCACCGCCCAGTTTCCCCATCATTCGATCATGTTTCCCCATCATTATCATCATTCGATCCTCCACTGGTCCGCCGGAAGGCTTGCCACCGCCGTGCCGTAGCTGACCACCGAGGCGCCGGAGCTTCCCAGGAGCGGCGTCAGCAGCTCCAGGGCCCCGCGCCAGCGCGCTGAAGCGGCGCGGGCGGCGGCGTTGAGGGTGATGCGGGTGGGACGGAGACGCTTCGTCTGGAGGCTTTGGAGGAGGAGCAAGCAGCAAGACCAGTGGAAAGGATGGAAAGGATGGGAGGGATGAGAGATGTGGGAGGTGTGAGAGATGATGGTGTTGTAGGAGATGATGTCGACATCTTTGGAGAGAAGTTGGCAAGCCTTGGGCCATTGTTGTCCTTTCTCAAAGGCTAAGATCAGGATGTTGCGAGTGCTGCAGCTCTGCGTGGCTCGCTGATAGACCGCTTTCAGCAACTCAAGGGCCAGGCCCCACTCTTTGGCTTTCGCACAGCTACTACTGGCAGAATCCCAATCACGCACCTGTTGTGATCCTTGCAAAACACAAAGCGCTTGCTTCCAGTTCGCTGGAAAAGCAGCAACCCGCTGGGTGGAGGAAGCATCCATGCAAATTCCGAGGCCTTTGAAGTTTGCTGGAGCCAGTGGACGTCATGAAGAGCTGAATTCTATCCGCCCGAAACCGGTTTTCAACATTGGGAGGCCATCGCTATTAGGTTGGAGGTCATTACTTATAGTAGTAGCAAGAAGCTATATACTAGGTTGGAGGCCATCGCTCTTAGATGCTATTAGGGTTGGAGGCCATTTCTATCCACGTCGCCTTCGCCTCTTCCCAGCCCTTTCCGGAACCAGGTCTGAGGTCTCCGGCCATGGAAATGGCCTGACCAGCACACACCCGGCGACCCCAGGAGGGTCGGCAGAACAAAAGACGAAGGAACACCCGTCGTCACCTGTCGAGAGGAAAGGCTCTTCCATGGTCAGGATCTGGCCGATACCGGTGTTGCCAATGCTCCGCCCTCCGCCGTGCTCCGCCGTGCTCCGCCCTCCGGATGTCCTAGCCCGGCCTTGCTTCAAGGGCTGTAGGTAGACAACAAAAACCATCAAGATGCTGCAGGAGACGATAAAGGCCTTTGGATTGGCACATCCACCCCCTCGTCGCTGATCGTGGATGTGTTACTAAACGCCTTGTCATCGCTGATCACATCAAGTCCGCCCAAAACGATAAAATATGGTTTTGACTAAGGGAAATCTGTGCAGTCAAAATGGTATATGGATGACCAAGATTTGTTGATATCCACATCCAAATTCCAAAGATCAACATTTGTATTTGAGCTACACTCACTCACTCACTCGCTCGCTCGCTCGCTCCCTCCGTCCCTCCCTCCCTCCCTCACTGCTCCACGAAAGCAAGACTCTGTGCCAGCCATGTCTGTCCCCAATCCCATGTAGACTCAGACTACGACTCCGAGACAAAACACATAAGGATACCTCGCAGCTATGCTGGTGGAGTAGCTGCTAGCTGCTTCTTCAAGCAGAAATGACCCGCATGGGGAAAAAGGCTCCAATTGCCAAAATGATCCAATACGAGGGTCATTGAGGGTCCATAGCATGGAGATTTACTGCTGCTGAGGAGACAGTACCAATCTCCTATGTTGCTCTAGCTTCCGAGCTTGAACAAGACCTGAGTGTTCTTTACTGCGATACGCTGCTGAAACCAACAACCAAGAAGTATGTATATAGCATGAAACAGCATGAAAGAACTTGATTGATCCTCACAGCCCATCTTTATCTCTCCTTCCAGGTAAAAATCTGAGGTGTCGGGCTGTGATGGGTATTGCAGGCCATGCTGGATTCCAAGCCTCAGCCATTTCACTCCAAAAAGCTTCCCTAGGCCGCCTGACTCCGCTAAACTTGGAGGATGCCGGTGCTGAAGGACTTGGCCAACATACAAGACCTCACGAAACCAAGGATGATACAAAGTACCAGTTGTTTCTGAGCGTGCTTGCTCCAGCAGCGCCGCAAAGCAACAGATCCCTGGCGGCAGCAAGCATCACTGATTCACCGGATATAGTCTAAGCTCCAAACCAATCAGTCTAATATAGTCTATTGTTAGTATGTCTATGGATGAATATCAGTCTATGGTAGTTTCTATATGGTTGGTATATGGTATGTCGGGTCATACGGTCTGATTGATTTTGACTATTGACTATTGGTGAGGGGCCACCTCAAGCTACATAGGCTGCAAATGTTCTTCTTGTTCCATGCTCCAAGTCGTGACACAAACCGTGGTGATCCATGTTTAACAATCATGACTCTCTTACCATAATCTTTGAATCTCTCAACGATCAGCACCATAACTGCAATGTCTTGCGCAAAGCTTTGATGTCGTTGTTAGATCACACATTCTGCATGTTGGAACATGAGTAGTTCATGGGCATAATTCATTCATGAGTAGATAAGACCCCAAAGGCCGAACCAAAACCATCACAAAGTTCGGTTTTGCCACACCAGACTTTACAAATGCATGCCACATGCGGACTGACCTCGCACGGAGGGAGCCTCGTCGTATCTGTCGATGCACAAAGTTGAATCTGAAAGCCATTGCACCTGAAAAAGCTTGGCCGGAGAAAGGTCAGGTTGGAGGCCATCGCTAGTAGGTTGGAGGGCATCGGTAGTAGGTTGGAGGCCATCGGTAGTAGGTTGGAGCCATTGACGGTTCTGACGCCAATCCGAAAGCCAGGTTGGGTCGTCCCCGTTGGCCCTGTTTTGGAGGAGGAAGCTGCTACTTGGGAGATCAAGCAGCTTGCGGCAAGCAGTTTACCTACGAACCCCTGGAATCCGTGCAGAAACCCTGCAAACTAGGCCGATGCCAATGTTGGAGGGCAGCTGGCGTGATTTTCTGTCTAGATCAGATGCAAAGCCTTGCAAAAAGCTCAATGCTCAGGACATGTCAGAAAACTATAGAAAACTATATAAGATTCCTCATGATTCCTCTGAAAAGTGGTGAACGTCCTTTCCACTTCAAGTGTTTCTTGGACCAACCCATTCACCTTGCTGTGACTGGGGCGATCTCTCCGAGACTGGCACACCCAGTTAAGTGCCAGGAAGATCGTGGCGACGAACTGGCAAGCCCTGGGCGCCGCGAGGCCAACGCGAGGCGATACAGCAACAAAAGTTGGTGAAAAGGGACGAAAGCATCGGCACCTCTGGAGAATCGACTATACAACAAGGGTTTGAATATGGCATGTATGTTTAAGTTTGAATCTTGGCAAGTGTGAGACGCCCTCTTCAGGCTGAAGACCAGTGAATGTCCTTGATTTCCAGTTGGCTGTGGGAAAAGATGGAAAAAGGACAACCATCGTTTCTGGTGAACATCTGCCGTATCCTGCTGTGGACCCCCTGGTGGACTTCGCAGAAATAAAATAAACAAGGTGCGCTCCCACTTTCAGACCGTTTCGCGCCCTCCACCCGGCCGCCCGAGAAACTTTTGCCGAAACGAAATCTTCAGGCTCGGACGGTAACATGTGGATGTACATGAGGCGGCCAGCCATCCTCATGGGTGCAAGGATTACATAAGGATTGTAAACCGGAAGAGTGGTTAGAACTTAAAAGCACAAGCAATTTTGCATCCGGACCATTGATGGGAACACCAAAATAACTTGACTGCTGGGGAGGGTGGGAGGGTGAGTGCATGGTGTGTTGTTGGTCCATCCAACAAAACCCTAAAGACATTGAATTATGAGCAAGTGTTTCAGACTGCATCCCATGATTCTCCATGGTTCTCCACACCCACTTCGCAGAATCATTGCTTCACCGGTTGAATCCTCAGCGCCTCCTGTTACACCCCCCCGAAGAAACCTCGCCACAGAGAAGCTGAAGGACCATGTCCACCTCAGGTTTGGATGCGAAGTGGTCGAGCGCTTTCGTCCTTTCGTCATTTGCAAACCACTGTGAAACGCCAACAGATATAATATCCGTTGACCATTTGACCGCTGTTGACTTGGAGTGTTATGTGTTTGTTTCATTCAGATATATAAATCAAAAATTGCCATACGTAGAGGGTAAAAGGATCAGTATTTCAATAGGTGGTGTATGGAGTACAAACAAAGCTATCTGTGTATTGTGGCACAAGCACTGAACTTCCGGAAAGCCAAATGGGGACCACGGTGGGACTTGGAATCTTTTCAATGAATAAGACTAGGATGTACGGATGTGCCTTTCGCGTCTTGAAACGTCACCACGCACATTCAGTTAGGACCAGTTAGGACTTCCAGTATCATTCTTTCCAGTCTTCAAGGGTTCACAGATCAACATCTGTGACAAAATGCATAATAATATGATAACTGGTTGATGTTCTTTTGGATGACAGTCTTGGATTGAATGAAACACCCAACATAATTATATATACAGTAATAGTATATGATGCGTACTGCAAGTCGATTGATTCCCTGGGATGCTGAAGTTGTCTGCTTCGGCTAGCCCACCAGTGGGGCCAAGCAGCGAAGACAAAGGCAGCTGTCGCACAGCATCCATTGCAGAGAGGACCTCAAGCCGTGTGCCGTCGTGCCTTGTGGAGATCCTTCAGAATTCGGAAGAATCACCAACCAGGCAACAACCGATTTGCCGGGGATCGCTGAGCATTTGTTCTATTTTCCAGGTCTGGTCACCAGCTGTCCCCAAGAAGCGGGTACTCCGAGATCCGACCTAGCAAGCTCTTGCAACAAATCCACCCAAGACTTTTGAACCAAATGAAGGGCTTCCAAAATGCGGGGGACCCCCAAATCAGCCAGTTGAAATTGGGTTGCTCAATCATTACAACCCTCCGAAACTTGGCGCGGCCCCTTTCTTATCTTTCTTGGAAACCTCCAAATCTGCCCCACTCAACGTCCACGAAACCTCCATTGGACGGTGCTCGGTCCGTGCCGAGACGCGATGCAGGAGACCTCGGCGACACCCTGGGCGTGGCGCTTCGCCTGTAGCCACCTGGCGAGGAAGCAGCAACAGCGGGCGGAGGCTGTCTGCGGCAAAACATGGCGTCACCGGTGGTCACGAGAAGAACCGGTGGTCACCGGTGGTCATAAAGAAAATAGCAGACATTCCAAACAGGAGCAGCAGCAAGCTCAGTAGTTTGGCCTAAAGTTGCCACCCGTTTCGTCGCAAGTTCAGTAGATCTGCATTATCTTTCAGGGCAAATCGGCAAATGGCATAACATTGTGCCCATAATATGGAGCTGCCCAAAACACCCTACCGGATCTACCCGCCACCGACATGGCGTCCGCCACCCGCCACCGGCGGCCTATCTTTCCAGGTCTGCCACGCCGACTCCGAGACCACTGACGTGGCCTTCACCTCGAGGTCGCCCGCCATCGTTAGTAGGTTGGATCCTCCCTAAAGCGTTTCGAAGGTGAATCGAACGATGCCTTCCGAACGCCCGACGGCTCGAGCCGCGCCGTGTCTGACGGCGCCTGACTTGGCTCCCCGGCCGGCAGAAAGACGGGGCGCAGGTGAGTCCTTGCCAAGCCTGGCCCGTCCAGTCACCGTCGGTCCAGTCCAGGTCCTGAAAACCGAAAATGGAGTTGAGTAGCACCAGTATATGAGTAGATATGAGTATATAGTATTGAGCATGCTAGTGTTTTTGTATGACCAAGTACAGTAAAATGAGGTCAAACTGACTGGTAAGGTCATGCCGAGAAGTGAGACCTCCGAATCCAAGTCCATCTAGCCGAATCTAGCCGCTTGAATCCTGTAAAAGCGTGTCAAATGCATTTGATTTCCAGGACATTCCAACAAACATGCAAGCGGAAAGTGAGCCCATTGAAAGACGGTGTTCCTATTGTTTCTTGGAGAAATGGTAAATAAGAGATAATAAGAGTAGGTTGCTTTGCAGCAAATTCAACATCCTCCCTCGTACTGATCTGCA